GGGGGGGAGAGAGAGAGAGAGAGAGAGGGGGGGGAGAGAGAGAGAGAGAGAGAGGGGAAGAGGGGGAGAGAGGAGAGAGAGAGAGAGAGACGAGGGGGGGGAGAGAGAGAGAGAGAGAGAGGGGGGAGAGAGAGAGAGGGGGGGGGAAGGAGAGAGAGATGAGAGGGGGGGGAGAGAGAGAGAGAGAGAGAGGGGGGGAGAGAGAGAGAAGAGAGAGAAGGGGGGAGGAGAGAGAGAGAGAGAGAGAGAGAGAGAGAGAGAGAGAGAAGAGAGAGGAGAGAGAAGAGAGAAGAAGATGAGAGAGAGAGAGAGAGAGAGAGGGGGAGAGAGAGAGAGAGAGAGAGAGAGAGAGGGGGGAGGAGAGAGAGAGAGAGGGGGGGAGAGAGAGAGAGAGAGAGAGAGAGAGAGAAGGGGGGGGGGGGAGAGAGAGAAGAGAGAGAAGGGGGGGGAGAGAGAGAGAGAGAGGGGGGAGGAGGGGGGGAGAGAGAGAGAGAGAGAGGGGGAGGTTGGGTGATGCCTGATCACATCAGAATTTTTTGCTCTGATTGTTGGGCATTATGATTTAGACACAATTTAAAAGCATGTTTTATAAAGATTTTTAGCTTTGCTTAAGGTAGATTATTCTTGGAAACACAAGAATATGTTATATATAATCATGTTTAAATAAGTTCTAATTACTCATAATATTCCAAACAATCTGTTCTGAGTTCCTCTAAATTTTCTGTGATCTGGTTGGTCAAATGAGTGCTTAAAGCTCAGAATCATGCAAGGAATATGTATCTTTGCTTAACTGAGCCTGTGTTGCCTTGTTTTCATAAAGCCTAACCTCCCTTGTGTGAGCAGAACTAAGCAAATTTCTACTCTATTAGGGTTGGTTATCAAAAGGGGAAAAAAGTATAAACAATGGGTAAAGTGAGTGTAATACAATATATCTATTGTGGTACAATATGATAACCACTTTTTGTGCATGGTCTAAAAAATCACAGTTTTGAGTGGGCATTGCTGATGGGTAATCCCCATACCGGGAGGTAGCAATCTATGTATAAATACCTCTTCAAACTCTTCCCACAAAATGGCCCATTTAATGTAAATATGTAGGCATTCAAGGGATATACTAAACACATTACATGTATCAACTGAATAATAATAATAATAACAAAACTTTGTTAATTTACATTTGTTGCAATGGTTATTCTTGGTGTGACAACCTTACTGACTCTTAATGAATATCAAGTAGTAATGTTAATAAATTATACACTTAATATTTTACAATTTATAAATGTATAATTCAGTATGACTATTTTTCAATATCCAAAAAAATCCCATTTTTTGTTAGTTACTTACTGGGACAATATTCCTCTCAATATTTAAAGGGAGGGCATGGGAACCATAGCATAAATCCCTTAAGGCTGAAATGTTCTTGAAATACTAATGATAAAAATCATTAATAGAAAATATTTCCAAAAATCAAGGAAAAGGGGAAAACAGATGAGATAGGTCGGATTACTCGGGTCATTTTAATAAGATTAAGGTTATTGCTTGGTTACTAAGCACTTTCAGAGCCATCAATTTGTATTATAATTACAAAAAATCACAGTTTTTTTTGCCATCCAGGGCCATTACATTAAAACCCAATCACAAGTGCTCTTACCCTTGAACAGCTGTTCTGCCAGAACCTTCTCTTCGAACATGGACCTCTTTTCTGGGGTTAGTGCCTTTACATATCTTCTGGCCATGTAAGTGCGGTGCATACCCTGAAAGAAGGAAATTCCCAGTAACCAAAAAATTCATAGAGCAAAGACAAATGGATTTACTTTTATATCTTGTTTCACAAGTATGGATTGGAAACATTAAATTCATACGAGTTATTTCTCAAGTCCTACCTTTTTCAACAACTGTCACAATAAACCTTCACATCCTACAAACAATCCAGAGAAATATTCATCATATCTCAATTAGAAGTTTAGAAAACAACACCATACACCAGAAGAAGGAAACTACACACATGCAGGATATTAGAGGCCTCACTACAGGGGGCTGGAGCAGGGGGCCACTTGGTGTCTAGGAGGTTGCTTGGGAGGTTCTTGGACAACCTCAGTAGGAACTCACACTTCACAAGTTGCTGGAACCTTTCATTGATGGGGTTCACAGGTTCATTCCTTGTGATGAAACCCTTGATGAAGCTGGACAGGAAGAAAACAAAGGGATTCATTTCAAGCGATAATGATTACTGAACCTGGATTGTTGAAGGGAGATAGCATATATATCATTCCTTGAAGGATAGGTCACAGATACAAAGAATGATTCTTTAAACTGGTGAAAACACAATTAATACATAATTTATATCAAGTTATGTACAATAATGATGCCATATTTTCCAGTCAGATTAAATAAGCAATTTCTCCTAAATGCACTTGAAAACAGTGCATCTGCCAGAGGATATGCATTCTAGGAGTGCATATATGTTATCAAAGATTCATGGATAATAAAGTGCCCTTATCATTGTGCCAAACCACCACAAAAGCTGTATCCCCTAAACACTTACGCACGCACGACTCCCACAGCCCATTTCCTCCTGGCAAGCTGTCTCTGGGCCCTAATCCTTCTCCAGTGCTTGGCTATCCTGGTCACTGCATCACGCATCTTCTGGTACCTGCGTTGGTACATAAATGCCTTCCACTTGGCTTGGATCATTGTGGCCAGCTCTGCCTTACGAATCTGGAAGCGGTCCTCTGTGAAGAACAGGGTCTTTGGCAGTCTGATGAAGAGCTTGGTTCTGTAAGACAGAGAGGCAGATTATTGTTAGGTCAATGAGTGATTCATTACATTAAAATTATCTGCTTGTTTCTTGTGGATATGCTAAGTAGTGGCATATCAAGACCATTATAACACTATCAAAGCTGTAAAAAACAAATAATGAAAACAAAAATAATACAGAAACAACTAAGACCACAAAACCACAGTAGAAAAACCCATAACCAAACGTACTCTCCCATGCGATAATCCTCTGGGTGGTATCCTAGATGGTCTACAATGGCCTTGACTCCATCCTTGGCAGGGCCTGGGTACTTGGGCCAGGTTGCTGGGCACAAGGACTTGTAGCGTGCCAGGAAGATCTCATAGAGACGGCGGTAGGCAAAACCGGCTCTTCGCACCCTCAGGTTTTCCATCAGCCCTAGATACTTAACTTGGTGACTCACTCTCTCAATGTTGAAGTTACCTGGACAAAAAATGCATTATTTGAGTATGTATGGACAGTATCAAGATCTAGTGGGTAGTTTCTGAAGGCAGGGTGAAGGAGGTTGTGGATAAAGCATGAGATTTTAGAGTGGGTTTTGTTAATGATAGCTCACTCCCACATTTCAATTATGAAGACATTGCAGAGTAATGAGGTAAAAAACAAAAAATTAAAAACAGAAGCAAGAACAGCAACTCACAGGAGCGCTTCTCATCATTAGGCTTGATGCAGCGGATGTATGAGGGCTCTTTGATCATGAGGATTTCCATTAGGTTGGCCAAACTCTGTTTGAACTGTGTGGCAGCTGTCTCGGGTCTCTTCTTGTTCAACAGCTCCTCCTAGAATGGGAAGGAATGAGAATGATACATCTTGAAATAAAAAGATGACTAAGAATGAGAAAATTGATAATAGGGGTTTATTCTATTGAAATTGGGGATCATTTAACTACTGTCCAGCATAACACTTATGAGTAAGGCAAGGTAAATTCATATTCTTACATGAAGAATTTGACTTACTGATCCCCCAAAAAAGAAGAAAAGAGGGAAGAAGAAAAAGAATACATACAGAATTTTATTTATCTGCATATAGGAAGTTAAAAGAGGATATAAAAACTATACTTAAAAAATAATACTGTATCTTAAGGCAGAACTTATCCTCACCCTAGGAAAGACAGACTTTGCAATGATGTTCGAGGCCTTTGACATGGTGTCCTTGAGGTCGCGGAAGAGGAGATCGTTGTTCTTGTCAAGGAAGCCCTGGACGCGGTAGGCCACCTCGCCTGCATAGTGGCGGAGGCGGAATTCATCTTTGTTGATAGTTTTCTTCACCTGATAATGAATGACAGTGATCAGAATTAAGGTGATGATGGGAAGTAGAAGTAATAATAATAGAAACACTATAATAATCATATTGCTGATGAACTTATCTTTCTTAATGACATGTGCAACAGACAGAATACTTGCAGTAATAAAGAGCAATGACTCAAATCTGCAATACCCTCCCCTATAAGAGAATCATAAATCACCTTGTTGTTTTTGGCAGTTTCGTAGCTGAAGTAGTGATCATGTTTGGACAGGTGAGAGTCCATCTTGCTAAGGAAGGTGAGGTCGTTGGCATCACCTGGCCGCAGACACTCCTCATCCAGCAGGGAGATTATACCTTAAAGGAGAAGTGAAAATTGGATTTTGCTATTGTGGCTGTTTCTGTGACAATTATGATTAATGTAATAATCATCAAATTGTAAAGAATGTAATATCACTATAGATGAAGAGAATTCTGTCACTGCTGGCAATAATAATAATAATGATAGTAATAAGGATGATTATAATAGTAGCACTGATATTAATGATGACAACTATTGTGATAATGGTAATACTGACATTAATATTGGCAAACATAATAGTAATAAATTCCGACATTAATGATGATAATTATAGAAAGAAACTAAACTACATTCAACAACCTCACATTAACAACACTGTCTTCTTCAAGACCTCACACTAGAGAATGATCAGTGTAGCCATCAAAAGAACTACATTCAAATCACCCTATGTTGATCTCTACCCATATTTTAATTCTTTTCAGGTGTGATTACTGTTCATGATTGGAATCTCTGTTGAGATAAAACAACTAGAAAGATTGGGAAATAAATGTTTGATAAGAAATTCAAAGACTTATTGCTTTGATAAGAAATTCAATGACTTATTGATTTGATAAGAAATTCAATGACTTATTTATCCATTGCTGGAACTCACCTTTATGC